TGAACTTCAATATTCCAAAAACTCTCTTCCTACAAAATTTTAACATTCCTTCTCTTAAAAATTCTCTTGATCATTTTAAAAAATAGTTTGAACACTTCTTCCCACCCTATAACTATCAATTCGCTGACTCTCTTGACAAAACCAAGGTCTATAACTCTCTCAAATATCAATTCCACCAACAGTTCATCTCTTATCTCAGAGAACTTGTTCCTCATACTCTAGCATTCAATAAACCTAACAATTCATTAGAACATCATGAAAAAGCTACAAAACTCACCAACTACCACATAATGACCTGTTCAGACATTACTTGTCCTCATATGGAAAAAATTAAAATCAAGAACAAAGGAAAAGAAACAGAAAACCAACCAAAACAACAATTCACATTCAGACATAATTACACCAAATTGCTTAAAGATACTCTCGAGCAATCATATATTAGCTACCCCAAACAACAACATGAATCCTGGCCACACCCTGAGATTAACCTATCACTATTTACTATTGAGGGAAATCATACTGCAACCTTTAGCAAAGAGATTCCAACTAAACTATTGGATGAACTTGCTACCCAAACAGAAACTATATTTGCAAAACCTACTCTATGCCAACTGTTACCAAACGCTGCAACTACTACTTCTATGAACTTTTAAATGCATACCAACAAGCAGCTGCACAAAACCACCTTATCGATAACATCGATAAACAAAAAGCAATAGAAAATCTTACTATTAAACCTATTAGTACAGATTTTCTTGCTAGAGTCATTACATACTTTGATACCAAAAATCAATCACTTAACTATCCACAACTTGTTAAATTTTATAGAGAAACTGCTTACCCAGAAGCAGAGAAAATTATTCGAACAAAATTTAAAATGTCCTACACTACACCAACCTCTATAGAGGAGTCTCTCTTTTTTGAAGAGACTTCTTTTCAGTAACCTTGTCTTCTACAAAACACATAGATGCAGCCACCACCTTATCAAAAAAAACAACCAATGTATTTGATAAAGAAGATGATGTAAGTGGGCAGGCAGTAAAGCCTATTTACGTGGAGGACCATTTATATGACGGCCAGACCCAACGTACAGGGCAGACTATTGAATCCTGCGCAGCTATAAGAACCGAGCTTAAAACAGCGAGCGACCTTGTAGAAGACAATTCTTCTGAATCATCCTCAATATCATCAAATCCACATAATTCAGACACCTTTCACGATCCAAACACTTGCTTTAACAAATTTCTTTTCTACCATCATTTACCTACACTACCTGGACCACCAACTATCTGTTCCTTTTATCTACACCTACAAGCCTGCAATCCAATGAACACAAAATTACAAAAACTAGTAATCATTACTCTCAAAAATGACTGATCAGAAGCCCATATTTATCTTCCACATGAACCTAAA